AAACGAGCCGAACACGAACATACTTTTTGAGCTCGAAATATAAACGAGGCTCAGCTCGTGTTCGGCTCGTTTACACCCCTAGTGACATATGTAAATGAGTAAGCATTGTGTGTTATGTATGTAAAAGCTCCTTAAATCATCATTCATTTTAATCAATTTATAATCTAAACCCCATTGCTTCAATCTTTTAGAGCTTTTTTAAAATAAGTTACATGGAGTAGTTTCAATGCTTGATGTTGTTTTCTTAAGAGATGGGATAAAGTTAATTTGATTGTCATTCAAATGATTTTATTTATCTAGCTTAATGATACTTGATACTTTGTTAGGAATTTATATTATGGAGATAATATTTAATGTGCAATTTTAATTTTTAGAATATATGAATAGCAGTTTAGAGAAAATAAACAAAAATAGCAATTTTACTTGGTACCAAAAAAGTTATTGAAGAGAATTTTTTTGCTGGACATTTATTAAAAATTAACCAGAAAACAAATTTAGACAAAACAATGTTAGGGTTACTTCTAAAATTAGTCCTTTATCTTGCCACCCTTTAAAGGATAATACAGTGTTAGTGTTAACTATTATTATTATTATTATTATTATTATTATTATTATTATTATTATTATATATATATATATATCTCTTGCTATAGAATTACGAGCAAGTATGGGTCCAAGCTTTTCTTCCCCTCATTATATATGTAAAACTATACATAAAAAATATGATTCCTTGAATCTCGAAGAAATCCAACGAGTCTCACTTTTGAATATCAAATGGCAGCGTATAAGGATAGTCAAAATACGAAAACACAAAACGTTGTTTCCTTCAATTGGAATTCTGAGCCGACCGAACGGAAGCCTAGCCGAATTAATGAATAGAAGACACATAATCTGAGAGACGGTTGTTCATGACTAGTCCTGTCATTACATTATGAAATTATTCACAAAGATGGCTGAAAGGCAACCTGCAAAACACATTTTTTATCATAAGAGAAGGCCTCTTGTTTAAGGAGAGTTGCTCGTTAAAATATGATTCACCTGATGGCCCAAGTTAATCATAATGACATGAGGGCCTCTCTTGTTTAAGGAGAGTTGCTTCACCTGATGGCCCAAGTTAATCATAATGACATGAGGGCCTCTACTCAAGATTCCATTGAGAGGGCCGACCGAAGACTGTTCAATTGATTGAATGTTTGTTAGCTGATCGAAAGTTTTAGCTAATCAAATTATAAGACTATCATGTCATTAAATGCCCTTCTTCAAGCTCTTATTAATATTACAACGTGTCAGAGTCAGTTACAAATAAAAAAAGATGTAATAATGACTTGTTACATCCCTATTAAAACGAGAGAAAACTTGTAATTTTACTAGATATGAACCTATAAGTAGAGAGTCATTTCTCCAATAAAAGACAATTGAATTTACTCTTTCAAAACTTGTGTTGTTGTGCACTTTGTTTCCTCTATCATTCTTTCATTCTTTGTTTCCCTCGTCTGTCAATGTTTTATATCTTTAGTGTGATCCACAAGGCATATTTGTATTCAACATCTTAAAAGGTGCAGAGAGCTTAAAATCATGCCATCAACAAGATGAGGAGCACGCCACGAAGAAGGAACTCATGTGGAAGACAACTCAAACTGGATTATGTGAGGGAATTTGTGCAACAACTACTTCAAGCATTCCGAGATCAAATTGCAGGTCAGAAAACATAATTGACTCATGTGCTACCTGAGGGAAGAGCATAAGCTCCTCAAGAACAGAACCCTCGAGAAAAACCTAAACCCCATGGTCGTCGAGCGACTCAGGCGACCAAAAGGATGGAAGACTCCCAGTACCAAGATAGTGTTGGGTCTACATTATTGGTTGGACAATGATTTGAGCGAATGAAGGTCTACCGTCAGTCGAAGAATGCAGTCTCTTGGTAGATCTCTAATGTTGAGCTATTGGAGAAGTTCAAAATTCCATCTTTAGAATCCTACAAAATTTGGAGTGATCCAACCGACCATACTGCTTCATTTGATTTGGTCGTTTGCCTTCTCAAAATCTTTGATGCACTTAAGTGTCGTTATTTTACACCATACCGAGGAACTCAACCCTCATCTGGTTTAATGGCATCTCAACAAAGTAATCACCTCATTTGATAAATTCAAGAAGATGTTCACAAAGCAGTTCTTCAATGCCCAAAAGCCCTATAAGAACTCACGGGCATTGTGGCACGTCATGCAAGGGTTGAACAAGAACCTTTGTTCGTATGTCTCTTAGTTCTAGGAAGAAATGTTGGAAGTGAGGTATCTCTGGCCCGCAGTAGCACATGTTGCACTAGCCCAAAGGGCTAGGAGCAAAGGGAAATCTCTACAACGATGTTGTTTTGGTCACAATGATAATTAAAAACTACTATGTCAGTTGTACTTTTGTTGGCATTGGCAGTTCAAGGAATGTTATGTTCAAGTTAACCTTCGATAAGATGCATCTATTGGTCAATCTGTTGGTGACACTGATCGGCCTGCTCTATGATTATTTTGGTAAATAAAAGGAAACCCTGTGAATAATCAGGCTATCTATCACCTAAAGGGAAGGTGATAGCTAGTTTACCATTATGGATCACTTTCTAGTGGTTAGCGTGCCACCCAATTATAATGCTATCATTCTTTCAACCACTACTCAACGACTTTTGAGTCGTAGTCTCCACATACCACGTCGCGATAAATTTTCCATGTGATAGGGAGATAGTTACCGTTTGGGATGATTTCGAGCAGTCTCAGACATGATACCTTCTGGCAGGTGCCAATGTGTAATAAGAGTTGTTCGACATTCATAACCAGTGAGAGGGGGGATTCGAGACCTACGAAATTACTGTAAAGATTCTTGCCACCATTGGAGAGTTATGTAGTGAAAATTTTAGTGCAAGATATAAAGACCTGTTGATCCAAAATCTTCGGGAGCATCATAATGTTTTTGTCTGATTGGTCGCTAAAAAGCCGGACATTCCAATCGACGTAGCATGCTACCACTTGAATGTTAATGTAGTCGCCAGATCGATGAAGCAAAAGATGAGAACATCGGACAAGATGTTTGTTGGGTTGATTCGCGAAGAGGTGTAGAAGCTCGAGGAGGCAGGCTACATTTGGTAAGTACAATACCCAACCTGGGTCTTCAACGTGGTCATGATCCAGAACTCAAATGACAAATGGAGAATGTGCGTGGACTTCATGAATCTAAACTCTGCTTGCTTGAAGGATAGTTATTCCTTATCGAGGATCAACACTCTAGTAGATTCAACAGTTGGTCATTCAGTAATGAGCTTCTTGGAGGCTTTCCTTGGGTATCACTACAACAAAATGCATCCAACCTATTATGAAAAAAATTAACATTTACTCTAATTATCTCCGCTCACAGGTTCCGCCCATATTTCAAGACACATACAATTCGGGTCATTGTTGACCATCTTCTCAAATCTGTGCTCACTCGATTGGAATATTATGGTCTACTCCTAATGTGGGATGTGGAGCTTAGTGAATATGATATCACCTACATTCCTCAAATGAAGATTGAAGCTTAAGTTGTAGCAAACTTTATGACGGACTTCACTGTTGAACTT